GAGAGAGAGAGAGATTTTAAAGAATGATGATTCAAGATTTAACTTCTATCTATAACTGCTACAGCAAAAGTAATTTTTTTATAAATGTACAATTTTCGCTGTCGCCCATATTTTTTTTAAAATTATATATATGTTACTTTAAAAAAATGTTTTGAATACTAATTTTAAACAGCTGCCTGAATAGAAGAGTTTCAGCTTTGCTCGTAACGGTATTACTTAAATACCTGTTGCTGATGAAGTTGTTGTTGCATTTGATGTTGCTGAAGATGTTGCAATTGTTGTTGTTGCTGTTGAAGTTGTTGTTGATGTTGTAATATTTGTTGTTGTTGTTGCATTGTTGTATTTCCACCTCCATTGGCACTTTGTTGGTTTTGTCCACTTTGAGTACCATTTGGTAAACCTAAAGTATATTAAAATTATTTATTATGCTATCAAAATAGATATTTTTTTTTAGAATTCTTACCATTAGGTGCTGGACCTTGAGCTGGAGATTTTGCCCAACCTTGTAAATCTGCTAATAAATTCTGCCACACTGTAATTTTATCATAATGTCTTTTTATGAGATCTTCTTTACGTGCTAATTCTACTCGAAGATCATTGATATCTTCTTTTACTACTAATTCTGGTTTTAATGCAGATAATAAAAATCTTTTTTGCAAAAAGAAAGCTTCCATTTGTCTTGCCAGATCTATAAATCTCAATGTAACTTGTTCAACTTCACTACGTGCTTCTTCTTTATCCACAGTCAAACCACCAGACACTCCAATTCCATTGTTTCCTAACCCTTCGTCTTTCGTTATTAATATACTCAAACATTGCTGTAAATTGTATTTTATATAAAAAAAAATAAGTTTCGTGAAAATATGGTTTTAAAAAATCAATATGATAAAAATTAAAATATTTTTAATATTATACCTGAAATGCTTCCTCAAATTCATCGATAAGATTACCGTTACCATTAGTGGGTGTCGCCATTATACTCGTGATACTTATACATGTATATAATTTATTAACAATTGTAGTCAATTTTTTTTAGAGTTTGTCTATTATAAGTATTTAAAATAGAATTAAAAAATTCACAATTAATATACATATGTATCATATGAATAAAATGATAATAAAAATTCATAATTAAATAAAATATACACAATTATCAATAAATATGTTCAGCATAAATTTTGCTAATTTTTTATTGTGAGTTATAGTTATAAGACTATATAACATATTATTAAATTTGTGGATTATGGATTTGTCGCATTTATATCTACAACGTTAATCAAGTATGTAATATTTCATATGATAATTTATAAATCTCAATCATTAATATTTTCGTATTATATCTTATTGGTTATTGATGATTATATTTATCGATACATCAATTGCTTATGATTGATAAATATATTCGTATAAATTTTATTTAAAAATATAAAAAAATATACTAATATAAATTATATTACTTGTATTTATAGATGTAATCTTTACTTTTTTGCTAATAGAATATTTTATGTTTAATTGTTTTAATTAAATAATATAAATTTTGTTAATTATATGTTATCTGGTAAAATTAAAAAATTATTGCTATTATTTACATCTATATATTATGTAAGACATAAGTATTTTACAGCAAATTAAAATAAAAAAATATATATAGCAAACTTTAGAAATGTAGAATTTTTAATTACTCAAAACTTTATTAAATCTGAAAATTCCATTAAATCTGGGTCATCTTCTGGAGGTGGTTTATACCATGGATCTTCTAATTCCCACAAATCAGGAGGTAAATGTTCTCTACCTGGTGGTGGTCCACATGGTTCACAAGGTGGATAAGTTTGAATATCAAAAAATCTTTCTAATTGTTCGGGATCAAAGGGTTCATATTGATAAGGTTCTGGTAATTTAGGAACAGGAGGAATATGAGCTTTTATTCTTATGCCTTCTCGTTCTTCCCAAGCTATTTCTTCTTCTAAAGGTACTTCTGCTGGTACTTCTTCTGGTGGTTGTTCTGCAGCTGCTTGTAATCTTTCAAGTCTTTCAAATTCTTCTTCTATTCTTTTAGCTGCTTCTCTTGCTTGTATTTCAGCTTTAACTTTTCTTATATGTTCACGAGCAGCAATAACATCTGGATGGTCAATACCATATTCAGGTTGTAAAAATTCTTCTTCTAATTCAGGAACTCTATATAAGCACCATTATTATTATATAGATATAATGATTATAAAAATTTCATTTTATTTTAATATATCTGAAATATTACCGAACATATCGTCTTGGAGCAACAATTTCAGGAGCAGCAATAGATGGAGGAGGAGTGACATCAAATAATTCAGGAGGAGTGATATCTTCAAGAGCAAAAGCACTAGCACCAACATTTGCAGCCGCAATAACAAAATCTCTTCTAGCTTGTTGCAAATCTGCTAATTTACTTTGAACTGCTGCAGATTCTGCAGCATCTTGCTCATTAAGAGTTTCACTGTCAAAAGTGATATATGCTTTGTTATTATTGCAGAAAAAAAAATTTTTATAAAATCACCTGATCACTTGAATTGAACGATTAACTGCTTGTGATATTTGTGTTTCCTCTACAGGTGGTTGTGCTACACTAATAATAGTAGTACGTTCTTCATTTACTGCTCCAGGAGGTATTACAATATTATTTATTACTCCATCACCAACTGGTTCAGCTTGAATTACATCAGCATTCATCATTTTAGCTAAATCAGTGGTTTTTTTAGGTACAGGTTTTTTAGGAGTAACAGGTCTCCTAGGAGGAGAAGGTACACGGGGTACACTAGGTCCAGCAACTGGACTTACAGGTCGTGGAGTTACAGCCGGAGGTGCGCGTGGAGGAGGACGTCTTGGTGGTATTCTTTCCCTACCCAATCTAATTTAATTTTATATGATATGTTATTATTAGTGTTAAATTATTTAATTCTTTTATATATTATTTAATATTTTAATATAATAATATAATACAAATAATATAAAATTACAAAAAATTAATTTATTATTTATTTAAAAATTATTGAATCATTTATTATAATTAAATTTATCATGGCAACCTGGGATCACCTCCTATCGGTGCAGGTGTTCTCCTAGGTAGGTGAACTTCATGCTTACGTTCATACTCTTGTTTAAATTTTTCAGCTTGTTTTACTCTAGCTAACATTGCTTTAGTCATTGCTGGTCTAGTGAAGTCCAGTTTTTTTGGTTCAGGCCTAATGTGCCGTCTGCGTACTTTTGGTTCTGGTGGTGGTCTTGCAGCTCTTTCTTGCCTTTCAAGCTCTCTGGCAGTTCTGGCTTGACGAAGTTGTTCAGTTCTTGTTAGACCTGGACGTCGACTCATTTTGTCCTTTATAAATTAATGATAGGAAAATAGAGAAAAATAAGAATAATAATATCATATATATTTTGTAATAATTTTAAATTTATACATTATACATTAATATATAAAAAAAAATTCACTAGATTATGCAAATAATGCAAATATATAATAACCTGTTCAATAACTTATTTCTTTCTGTTGATGAATATTATTTTGGTTGATGTATTAAAAAAATTGTTAAGTTTTCATATTGTAAGTGTTTTGTGGAATTGATGATCGCGGTTCGTTGATGCGATCAAAATTGTTACATACTCAATTAATTTAAGTGTTTAATAATTACTAAAATTTTAAATGTTAATAAATCGAAATGTCATATAATTTGGCAGGTAGAATAAAAATTCATAATAAGAACTGCTTTTGTTTTTAATATTATACATATACACATATATATATATTAAATATCTATATATTATATATAAATATGAAAAAATTATTATATATATATATATATATATATGTATGTATGTATATATATTTATTTTAAAAAAGTGAAAATTTTATGAAATACAATGAAAAGTTATGTCTAAATAAAAGATAAAGTTTCTCGAAATATAGAAAAAAAATTAAATATCAAATATAATAATAATTCTTTATATTATTTAAATTCTTTTTTTCTTTATATAAATATATATTTTTGTTTTATATTTTGTATGTTATGTAAACATATATTATACATGTATATATAAATGGAAATAGATCAATAAATATAGATAATAAAAATTGTAAATAAAATACAACTATTTAAATATTGATATAATTTAAATAACTTCAATCGATTATTAGGAAATTTTCGATATCTTTAATCAACATGAATCGATATACAATCGATATGTTAGAAACGTAAGTTCCCATGTACTTCAATTGAAATTTTTGTTAAAGTTATTTCTTCTTCTTTAACAATGCCAACTAGGGCAGAACGCCCTAATTTGATACCTTTTCAGGATACTCAATATAGTTGGACGGATGATTTGCCAGTATGTAAACAATCAGGTATGTAAAAATTTAGATATATAACCTATCAATGATTAATGTTTCAAATATCTCATCAGGAGTAGGATTTTCTACAAATCAAATTTATCGTGAAGATGGATATCGGCAAGAGGAACATCCATTTGAAGATCGTAGCTTTCATTGTCGCTATGATGATTCGACATTTCTTTATGGAGTATTTGATGGTCATGAAGGTACAAAAGTTGCAAATTTTGCTATGCAGCGAATGGCTGCAGAAATTTTACTTGGACAATTAAATGGTAAATCAACAGATGAAGAAGTTAAAGATGTTCTTAGGTAATAATATGGTAAAAAATAAAAATTATAAATTAATATTTGTATATTATTATATACAATTATTTTTTTATATATTATAAGAAAAATAAAATTATATAATTTATTATTTTAGACAGGCATTTATAGCTGTAGAAAGAGGATATTTTGATTCAATTGGAGATCTTTTGGCTGAACGAACTAGTTTACAATTTGATATACCTGATGGATTAAATTCCTATGAAACATATCAAAAATTTCCTCATTTGGTTAGATAAATATATTATGTTATACTATATAATATGTATTTTATTAATAAAAATTAATTATATTATAAGTTTTTGTATAGGTTGATAAATTAAATGCATTGAATTGTGAGTTATCAGCAGGAACTAGTGCAGTTGTAGCTCTTATATATCGTGGAAGATTATATGTTGCAAATGTTGGTGATAGCAGAGCTTTATTGTGCAAAACAGATACCAATCAAGTGTTAAGAGTTGTACAACTAAGTGTAGATCATGATTTAAGAAATGAAGATGAACTATTAAGATTATCTCATTTACAATTAGATATTGATTCTATAAGACAAGGTAGAGTTTTAAAATCATATTTAATTAATTAATATTATTCTTATTAAAATAAATATTTAATTATAATATTTTCTTATTAAAATATTTTATAATAATATATATTTAAGGATCTCGTCTTGGAAATCAAGAAACTACACGTTGTCTTGGAAATTATCTTGTCAAAGGAGGATATAAAGAATTTGAAGAATTAGCATCTGCTACTACAGAACCTGTTATTGCCGAACCAGAGATTCATGGTGGAATAGAACTTGATGAATCTTGCAAATTTTTGTTGCTTATGTCTCGCGGCTTATATAAATCATTAGAAGAAGTGACTGGAATTGATCAAGTTAATATAAAATTAATTAACTTTGCAGTTCAAGAGGTATGTGAAATAATTGTATACAGAATATCCCATTTGAAGTTTCACACACAATTATTTCCCAAACCATATATTCTTTCAAAGAATATTTCAAATAAAACTTATCCTTATTTAAAAAGAAACATTGTGTGATAATCATAATCATAAATCATCTTTAAGTGGATCTGATTTCAAAATTTTGAAAAGATGATCTTGTTTTTTTTATATGAAATTATATATTTTTATATAGATAGATTTATCTATTTAGATAATTATAAATTTATAATTCATTCCAAAATAAATTCATAACATTGAACAAATTCATAATCTGATCTTTCAAAATAATTCAAGATTATTTAATACTATTTAAAACTGATTTTTGTTTTTTTTTGTCATCTAAAAATTGTTTTTTATCTGTTGTATTCGAATCTTATCTGATTGATTAACTATAAGATTTCTGGAAAACGTTCCATTTGATTCTATCAAATTATGGATATGATTTTAATATAATAATACTTCTATACATAATGATTAGTCAAGTTCAAAAAACAATAGCATATTTCTATCCAATAAATTATTAGTGAGTTCCTTCTCATTAAGATCAAGAATTTAAATAAATAATGGATTTAATATTTACAAATTTTTTCTTATGAGACTTTATAAAGGATATAATTTTGGGAAAAAAACTATTCTATGGTGAAAATATGAAAAATAGAATTATAAATGCTTATTTATAAATTACTAAAGTAATACTTAAAAATATCGAACTTTTATTTAAAAATAAATGCATTTATTTTGAATATAAATAAGAAATAAGAAACAATTTCTGAGTATACAAAAAAAATAAGTTTTGAATAATACTATAAATTATCTTGAATTATTTTGAAAGATCAAAATATTATAATTTAATGAATTCATTTTAAAATGAGATTTATATAAAAATATATTCAGTTTCATGTAAATAAATCATCTTGAAATTTTAAAAATACGTTCACCTAAAAATTATTTATGATTGATGATATATTTATGATGATCATGCAATATTCTTCTACAAATAGAATAAGTTTATGTGAAACATTTTTTAAAATGAACTATAATAAAAAAATAATTCGCACTTCAAGAACAGCTTATATTTATGAAATATTTTTGAAGGATTGATTCTAGAGGCTAAAATAAACAGAAAAGTTGATATAAAAAAAACCAATTAAGAGTTATTTATTAAATTATAAATAATTAAAGTTTATGAGAAAATTCAAATGAAGTGGGAATAGCAAATAGAGTGAGATAATTTTATCTCTATCATTATCGTTTTTGGCTCTGCTATGCTTTATCTAATGCAAAGTGTTTATATAATAAATTTAGCTTTAAATTTTTTTGTAAAGACTTTTATTTTAGCTTCTAAGATATAGATATAGATAATATTTAGCTTCTCCACAAATATATTAATATTTGTTCTATATAATATTTAATTAATTCTATATAATATAATAATATATTCTCTAAAATAAATTTCAGTTTCAAGCACAATCTACTTTAACAGGAGTTGCTCAAGCTGTTGTAGATAAAGTTGTAAGAATTCATCATGATATTAATATGAGTAACTTACAAAGTACAGTAACTACTGGTAAACGAGATGATATAACTCTTCTTGTACGAAATTTTAATTTTCCGCTCCCTCATGCATTAAAAAGTCCAACTAATCAAACAGTCAGATTTAATCCAATTGTTGAATCTACTCCAATTATAACAATGCCAGAGAATGATTATTCAAGTACAGGAATTACAGAAGAAAATTCCGATTTATCGACAACTGAAACTTCATCAACATCAGATATGTATCCGGATGCAAAATCAACAAACAGAAACACTAGGATTAAGTCTTATGTTAATTTTTCTGAATATTATGAAAATGTTGAAAAAAGACGACGAGAAGGAACATTACCAGAAGGTATAAATTTTTAGAAAATATTATGGTATTAAGTATATATTATATCTATACTAAATATAATAAATTAAATAGAAATACAGATATTAGATATTATATTATATATAATATATATATTATAGAAATTACATGTATATAGATAATAATTTGCTTTGCATACATGTTTTTTAAATAAAAGTTAGAAATATAATTATTTATTCAAATTGTATATAATAAATCGTAAAAATGAATTTCATGATAACAATTATGTTATACATAACATTATTAAATCTTTGACTTTTTACATTTTTTTATGTAGAAAAAACATGTATAATTCATTTTTATGTAGAAAAACATATAATTTATATATTAAACATATATAATAAAAAAAATTTGACGTCAAAACATTTTGAAATAAAGAACTTTTTTCCACATATAATGAGATTAAATATTAATATATGTTATAAATTTTATGAAATATATTACTCGTATATCTAAATTACAAATATTTTGTTGGATTAGATTTAAGTCTTTCAAATGCAGCTTTTTCAAGACATTCTCTATGATCAGGATGAGCAATTTGAATTAATGCATTTGCTCTTTGACGTAATGTTTTACCAAAAAGATTTGCTATTCCATGTTCAGTAACTATATAATGCGCATGTGCTCTTGTTACCACAATTCCACCACCTATTAAAGAAACTTCAATTGTATTTATATACAAATTATATTTTTATGTTAAAAAATTCATTTTATTTTAAGAATTTTTTTTATAAACATAATTATAAATAATATAAAATTATATTTCATACCAAGTTTAATTACTGGCTGAATTTTACTTTCTCCTTTACTCGTTACTGAAGGGAATGCGATTATAGCTTTTCCTCGACCATCTTGAGCCATTGCTGCACCTTGGATAAAATCAAGCTGACCACCAAATCCAGAATATAATTTACAGCCTAAACTGTCTGAACATATTTGACCAGTAATATCCATTTCTATACAAGAATTAATGGCTGTCATTTTCGGTTGTTGCGATATTATTCGAGGATCATTAACATAATTAATTGCACGCATTTCTATATAAGTGAATAAATATTATGTTATTTATTGAATTTAAGATATTTATAAAAAAATTTTAAGAATTTCATGAAGTTATGAATTACGCACCTACAAATGGATTATTATGTAAAAAATCGTATACTCTTTTGGTACCAATTGCTAAAGAACTGACCATACGTCCTCTGTGCTTTATTTTCATTTTATTTGAAACATTCCCTCGTTCTGCTAAATCTACCATTGTATCACCAAGTATTTCTGTATGAACTCCTAAATCCTTATGATTGCCGAGAGAACAGAGGACAGCATCAGGTATGTTACCAATTCCAATTTGTAAAGTTGCTCCATCGTCTACTAATCTTTGTGCAATGATTTTGCCAATTTCTTGTTCAATTTCATTTGGTGGAGTACTAGCTACACATGGTAAAGGACAATCATATTTAACAGCCCAATCAATGTGACTCGAATGAATAACTGTATCTCCAAATGATCTTGGCATGTGTTCATTTACTTGAGCTAAATGAGAAAAAAAAAAGTTTATTATTCTTTAAATTTATTATTATTATTTCATTTATTATCAAATGTTTACTGACCGATGATAACTTTAGCTGTACTAATCGCAGCACGTGTACAATCTACGCTTACACCTAAAGAACAAAAACCACGAGCATCTGGCACACTGACATGAATTAATGCAACATCTGGAAAAATTCTTCTCTCATAAAAGAGTTTTGGTACTTCATGAAGAAATATTGGAATATAATCTGCTCTTCCTTCATTAACAGCTTCTCTAAGATTAGCACCAATGTAGAAGCTTACAGATCTAAAATGTTCTAAAAGACAATTATGATTTTATAGTTGTAATACAATATATAGTGATGATTTACGCTTAATATTTTGAGTTACAGAATACTGTACTCTCAAACTCAGGACTTGAAAATGGTGCATCTCCTTCAAGGCCCATATGAATTAATCGTACACCACGTAGATTATTACAAACACCATGCTCAGTCATAGCTCGTATTAATTCATTAGGTGTTGCTGCACCTCCTTGTATAAAAACTAAATGCTCTAGAAAATCATGCACACAATCACAGAACGATCATAGAATATATTTTAATAAAATGAAATAAAAAAAAAATCATTATTTAAATACCTGAATTAATAATTTTTATTGCATCCTCTACACAAACCCATTTTGGACATCGTTTTAAAGGCTGTAAAGGTTCTCGAATACTTATATACCTTAAACCGCACATGTTAAAAGGTTTTGTTGGTAAAATTTTACCAAATGTTAACTCCAAATTTCGACGAAAATTGAGACCGAACATTTTGATAAAAGAAAATATGACACGTCACAAAATATATAAAAAATTGAAATTTGCTAAAGTTTGTTGATTCAGTAAAGCATATACAGCAATTACATCGAAATTTGGATGACACATAATCTAAAAAATTTTCTTTAATCTTAAACGTCAATTTACGTCAAATCACATTAGACCCGTTGCCATCTCCACGCTTAGTATTTGAACATCGCATTTACCGGTATTCGATTTTTCAATTTTCTCGATATACGTTCATTTTGTACTTTATTCAGTATAAATGGAAGAAATTATGACAGAATAAAATTCTATGTACATTTTATTTTTATTTTATTATTTCAAATGTCACGTACTTTCAATTATTACAATAACTGCATTTTATATAGAAACGTTCTCAAATTTTATGTAAAAGGTATTTGTTATCATATACTGTTTTAGTTATTGTTAATCACATTTTGATTGTATCTGTAATTCGTTTAAAATGAAAGTTTTTTCATTCTTATTTTGGTGATGAATATTTTTTATTCACTTAAAATAAAAATTATGCTTATTCAAAATACAGTTTGCTATAAAATGATGTTAAAATTCTATTTTTGATATTTTTTCTCTGAGTTTATGTTATTACGTTTTCAATAAGAAAGTATATATCATACATAATTATGAAATAATTTACGATAGTTTTGCTTAATGCACGCAGTTATTTGTGCTTATAAGAACTATCATGAAATGCTATTTAAAAAAATCCTTTAAATATTATTTTTAATAAAATGTTTATGGCGCTGGCATCATTTTTAAACGTTCAAAAGCTGCTTTTTCTAACGCTTCTCTATGATCAGGATGGGCAATTTGAATTAATTCATATGATCGCTGTTGAAGACTTTTACCAAATAAACTAGCAATTCCATATTCTGTGACAACATATCGAACAATTGCTCTATTTGTAACAACACCAGAACCTTAAAATAAATAATATAGTTAAAAATATATAATTAAAGTAAAAATAATTAAAGATCACAATTATTCACCTAATTTTAGAACAGGTTGAATTTTACTTTCACCCTTTGAGGTAACAGATTGTAGTGCAATGATAGATTTTCCTTGACGATCGTTACTAAGAGCTGCACCTATAACGAAATCTAATTGTCCTCCAAATCCAGAATACATTCTGGTTCCAATACTATCTGCGCAAATTTGTCCAGTGATATCAACTTCTATACACGAATTAATAGCAGTCATTTTCGTTTGTTTGGCTACTATTTGTGGATTATTCACATAATTCACAGCCAACATTTCTATAAAATTAAGTAATAAATTATACAAGACAATTATACATATCAATTATAAAGAAAAAATCAATATAAAATTAACTTACTATACTTACCTATAAAAGGATTATCATGCATAAAATCATACAACTTTTCTGAACCAATGCAAAATGAACCAACAATTCTACCTTTGTGTATTGGTTTACAGTTATTTGTTATACATCCCTTATTTACTAGATCTACTACACCATCGCTAAACATCTCACTATGAATTCCAAGATTTTTATGATTATCCAGAAAGGATAATACTGCATCTGGTATGCTTCCAATACCCATTTGCATAGTGGCTCCATTTTCTACTAAATTTTCGGCAATATATTTACCAATTTGTTGTTCTTCTTTTGATGGTGGTTTTACAGGATGTACTGGAAGTGGTGTGTGATGCTCGACGGCAAAATCTAAATGGCTGACATGAATCGAAGCATCGCCAAACGTTCTAGGCACATGTTTATTTACTAATGCTATAAATAATGACACCCCCCCCCCAAAAAAAAGAAGAAAAAGAAAAAAATTAGTGAAAAGATAATTCAAAAAGAATGAATTTAAAAAACTTCGAAAATTTACCTACGATGTACTTTGCATGGCTCAACGCGGACCGTACACAATCTACGCTAGTACCCAATGAACAGTATCCTCTATCATCAGGAGGACAAACTTGTACAAGAGCAATGTCAGGCTTAAGATATTTTTCTTCAAATACTCGTGGGATTTCATGCAACAAAATTGGAATGCAATCGGCATGTCCTGCATTAACAGCTGCTCTTACATTACCTCCGATGAAAAAGCTGACGGACTTAAAATGTTCTGCCGATAATATAAAATGTCATAAAAATTGAATAGTTATTTTTACATGATTTAATTCTTATTTTTTTGATATTGATTAAAAATGATTTTTAATATAATACAATTTAAAAATGAATTATTATAAAAAATAAATATGTATATAAATGATCATTTATCATTATATTTGATAAAATAGTTAATTTTATTGTATTTATATTATCATATTTGAGATACAATAATATTACTTACTTGCATTTTCTGCTTTAGCGAATGGTGCAGGACCTTCGAGATGCATATGACATAATCGTACATTTCTCACATCAGATCGAACGCCATAGTCGGTCATTGCCCTTAATAATTCAGTTGGTGTTGCCGCTGCACCTTGAACGAATACAAGCTGATCTGAAAAATAAAAAGATCAAATTCCTCCTAGATTTGAAATATTTTTAATTCAGATATTAATAAGATAAATAAATATTTATAAAGAACTTATAAATAATAAATATGTATATAATATATATAAAATATAATTATTTGTGTCATATAAGCGCTTCCATTATATTAATATTACAAATAGTTTTAGATGATTTAGATTATATGATATAAATTATAAAAATTATAATTTTAATTTTCTATTATTTTGTTTCTTCGTTTAATCTAATAGGATCGATAATTATTATCGGATATTCAGATATAATTGAGAGAGTTAGAAAATTAGAAAATTTTATTTCTTAAATTTTTAAATCAACAAATAGTTATAAACATATTGCAATACCATTTTTAGAATATAATATATACGTTATTTAATATATATTATAAATATATATATATATATTATAAATATTTATTGAGTTGAATTTTTTTAGAAGAATTGTGTGAATTTTAGAAGAAATAATATGATATAGATGAATAATATAGTCCAATTATATTTCAAAAAATTTTTTTTATTTTCACAAGAATGGAATTGACTCTTTATTGCATATTACTTTATCAAGAAATGGAATAATTCGAGGATCGGATAATTATATAAATTGTAATATTTCAAAAAAATACTTTTAAATATTCTTTATTTAAAATTTCTTTGATAAGAGAAAAATAAATAAAAATTTTACTCACAAAATAAACTTTTTATATAATAATGTTTTATGAATGATTTTCTCAATAAAAGTTTATTATAATTTAACAATTACATCTATCTGATTGTATACAAGAAAAATGTATTAATTTTAATTATTAATCGTGATAATATTAAAAAATATTTTTCATAAAATTTTATTTATTGAAATTTACAAAGATTCTATAAATGAAAACAATTTATAGATAAAATTTAAATCATTATGCACTTGATTGAAACCAATAATGCTTGCTTACGCATAATTGTATGTTCAATTTATGTTCCAAGGTTAAAACATTGTATAATATTCTACATTTTTAATTCAATAAATTAATATTTTTAATATATTAATATTTAAATTTAATCGATCGATTAAAAATTTTTGATCGATAAACAATCGCATAAGTACGATTAATACATATATATATATATATATATATGTATTAAATAATTAGCTTAATGATTCATTTGATTTTTTTTAAATTAATTGTAATATTAATGATAAATTAAAAAATTAAGTTAATAAAATTTATATTTTGCAATAAAAAATATCTTTCATAAAATCATGTAATTTATAAGTTATATTTCAATATCTTATAATCAAATATTTCAAATATTTTTCAATCAAAAAATAATAAATAATAAAATAAAAACAATATATTATTTAAAAATTTTATATTCATAATTTTATTATAATTTGAAATTTTAATATTCAATTTGATGAAATAAATAGATAAAAATTATTAATAATGTAAAAGATATTATCATACGATAAAAATAAAATTCGATAATATTAAAATTTAAATAAATTTTTTTTTACACTTGCATTATATATGCTATTTTAATATCATTGATATCTAGATTTATTCTTGTAATACTTCGAGGTTAGTTTTAAAAAAAATAAAATTTTTATCTAATATAACATCCAAAAATTGATACTTATTTTATAAATGAAATAATAAAATATAATATTTAAATTATTAATAATAAATTAATATATTATGAAAAAAATAATTACCTGAATCTAAATTTGCTTTTTCAATAGCTTCATCAGCAGTCTTAACCCAGCACGGTTCCTTGTCTAATATTGGCATAGAAGGTTCATTTACATATGTAAAATAAGTCTTTTTCGATGTTTGAACGCAAAGACGAAACGTACTTGTTATCGTTTTAATCGTTTTAGATAAGTTGAGTATTCGTTTAAGAGCCGCCATAGTCCAATATTTTTCTGTCAGTGAAACACGAATACACAATACCGTTTGAAATGACGATAAGAATTATTTTATAAATAAATTATACAAAATACAAAAGATTCGAAATTTAAAAAAAATAAATTAAGAAATTCAAAATAATAGTTTTATGAATTAAGATTTTTATCCACATATATATTCTTGAACCACCTGCCACCATATCTCACTGCACACTCGCGCCTTCTCGGCGCGAAATAATCGCTATCAGGTCTGTAACTATGGTATCTATAAAAATGGTATAAATGAATCAAAGCTAAAATACAAAAATTTTACATTTTATTTTTCAAGATTATTAAAATGGATATTATATTTTTTATATATAATCTAAACTACGTAATCAATCATTTTTCGTAATCATTTTTTAGTTTTATTGGTCTATTTAAAAAATTATTCCCGTTTTTAATGGTCTATTTAAAAAAATTTTTTTAATTTTATTAATTTTATAAATTTAAATGAATAATTTAAGATTTAAATGAATAATAAAAATGTGTTAGAAGTTTTTTAATATTTCTAATATATAAGTTATTAATTATTATGATTATTATTAAAATTAAATATTTACAATTACATAAACCGCTATTATAAAAAACAAATAATAATCAAAATAAATTATGTATATAATAAAAATATTATAATTTCATGAATATTCTTTCATGAATAATTTTTAATTTTTTTTAATGATATATTTAATTATAATAAGTAATTTTAAAAAAAAATTTATTGATAATAGATATGCAATGAATTACTTAGTATAAACCACGTGATTGCACGTGCCATTGGTTGCATCTTTGTCAGACATTTGTTTTTTAATATATCTATCAATCAAATAAAATTCATTTAGATATAATCAGATAATTTTTTAATATAAAAAAGTACATAATTAATATAAAATGTATTCTTTATTTTTATAATGTATTTAATTAAATTTAATAATCATAATTGTTTATTTATAAAAATATAATATTTTTATTAACTTAAAATTTGAACATATCCCCACCCTTAATATTTAGTCTATCTCTTTTCATCGAAATAGTATAATAGTACGTCCTACTGTTTGATCGACCAAAGAGACTAAGAGAGACACTCAACAAGATGTATCCAAAAACTATCCGAGAAGCTAATAAAGAACATATATTGGCTGTTTCAAGAGATTTTATATCACAGCCACGACTTAGTAAGTATTTATATGTATTAATAAAATAAGTTTATTAAAATTCAAAAGAAGAAAACTTAAAAAATATAAATGTTATTAAACGGCATAAACTGGGCGTAGCAGATCGATTTATCGTAGTCAGCTGATTTTGAATGTGTTTGTTTTTTAATCATAATAAATAAAAAAAAAATAAATTTAATATATAAAAATATTTTGAACAATTACATATTTATAAAATTTAATAACTTAATTGCAAATCAATGTTTTTTATATGAATAGAGACATCTATCATGTGACTAGATGCAGCATTGATATAATTTAATATAAAATTTATTATAATATAATATTATAAAAGTTATTTTATTTTATATTATAAAAGTTATATATAAATTTATATTTAATATATATTTGTTTAAATAAAATTTCATAATATATATTAAAGTTTTTGTTATATTTTAAATCAATAATTTTTTTTTATTTTTATAGCATATAATATATATTTGTTCAAATTTAATTTGTTCATTTAATATGTATTTGTTCAAATAAAATTTCATAATATATATTAAAGTTTTTGTTATATTTTAAATCAATAATTTTTTTTATTTTTATAGCATATAAAACCGTCTCAGGTGTAAATGGACCATTGGTAATATTAGATGAAGTCAAATTTCCAAAATTTGCAGAAATTGTTCAATTAAAACTTGCTGATGGATCTACAAGATCTGGTCAAGTATTAGAAGTATCAGGTTCTAAAGCAGTTGTTCAAGTATTTGAGGGTACTTCTGGTATTGATGCAAAAAACACTCTTTGTGAATTTACTGGTGATACTCTTCGGACTCCTGTATCTGAAGATATGTTGGGACGTGTTTTTAATGGATCTGGAAAACCAATTGATAAAGGTCCTCCTATTCTTGCGGAAGATTTTTTGGACATTGAAGGACAACCAATTAATCCATGGTCACGTATATATCCTAAAGAAATGATTCAAACAGGTATCTCAGCTATTGATGTTATGAATTCTATTGCTCGTGGCCAAAAAATCCCTATTTTCTCAGCTGCTGGTTTACCACACAATGAGGTATTCTATATTAAATATTTAAATTATAAGATATTTTATGATATCAATGCAATGCAATTATAAAATATCAATTATTAATAATGATTTAAAATCAACAATTATTTAAATTGATGTATACTTTATAGATTGCTGCACAAATTTGCCGTCAAGCTGGTCTTGTAAAGTTACCTGGAAAGTCAGTTTTGGATTCTCATGAAGATAATTTTGCCATAGTATTTGCTGCTATGGGTGTGAATATGGAAACTGCTCGTTTCTTCAAGCAAGATTTTGAAGAAAATGGTTCTATGGAAAATGTGTGCCTCTTTTTAAATTTAGCCAATGATCCTACTATTGAAAGAATTATTACTCCACGTCTTGCTTTAACTGCAGCTGAATTTTTGGCTTATCAATGTGAAAAACATGTTCTAGTTATACTAACTGATATGTCCTCTTATGCTGAGGCTCTTCGTGAAGTATCTGCTGCTCGTGAAGAAGTACCAGGACGACGTGGTTTTCCTGGTTATATGTATACAGATTTAGCAACTATATATGAACGAGCTGGTCGAGTAGAAGGTCGCAATGGTTCTATTACCCAAATTCCAATTTTAACTATGCCAAACGATGATATTACTCACCCTATTCCTGATTTAACTGGATATATTACTGAGGGTCAAATTTATGTTGATCGTCAACTTCATAATAGACAAATTTATCCACCTGTTAATGTACTTCCTTCATTATCTCGACTTATGAAATCTGCTATTGGTGAAGGATGGACACGAAAAGATCATTCTGATGTGTCTAATCAATTGGTAAGTTTTATATTTTATAACTTTTAAAAATATATGTATATATACTTTATATAAATATTATGATTTTAATAATGATCTTATTTTAGTATGCTTGTTATGCTATTGGAAAAGATGTACAAGCTATGAAAGCTGTTGTTGGTGAAGAAGCTTTAACACCAGATGATTTGCTGTATTTAGAATTTCTTTCTAAATTTGAGAAAAATTTTATTTCTCAAGGAAGTTACGAAAATCGTACAGTCTTTGAATCATTGGATATTGGTTGGCAGTTATTGCGTATCTTTCCTAAAGAGATGCTCAAACGAATTCCTACTAACATTCTCGCCGAATTTTATCCAAGAGATTCACGTCATTAGTTTTTTTCATATTTACAATTAAGTCTTTTTTGTTTAAACTATATAAAAAAAATTATGAATGAAAGAAATGAAAAAATGGTCTGACTCTCTTTTTTGATCATTTTTTGATGATTAAATTAAAAAAATTAAATATTTATATATATATAATTTTAAAAATATTAAATTAATAAAATTGCAATATTTCTGTTAATCAAATATAAACTAAAATTGGAATTAATATATTTTAATAAATTAATTATCTGGAATAGTATTAAATGTGTAGTAGAAGATAGAATATAAGAGAAATATATAGAGAATTACATTACATAATTTAACATTAATTCTACATTGTTAAAATGTAATTTTAATAATAATAGATATTTTGTGTTTTGTGCGAATAATCACTTATAACAAGTGATTGTGTAAAATATAATATATAATTCAGTATTAACATAAAAAAGAAATATCATTATATAACTTTATATTTTTCGGTTTCACATTCCAATATAAAATTTTCATCTATACAAATATTATACTCAATTAAAAGAAAAAAAATTAGACGTTATTTGATGTTGATAAGAATGTTTAATCTTGCACAGATTGTTCAATCAATATTTTATAAATGTATCTTTGTTGCTTTTAATATTGTAAAAATAATATATTTGTCTCAAATAAATATGTAAAACATACCATAAATGTATCTACCATAAAATATTTTATTTGTTTTGTTATTAATGTAATTATATTGAATTTATTATATTGAATGAATATAAATAATAGTAAAATACATCTACATAAAATATGTATACATTGTATAAAAATATAATACATAATGTATATATTATGTATGTATACATAAATATTATATATAAACAAAAATTTTTTGTACAATTCCAATAATTGGTATCTAGTAATTCATACATAATCTTAACAATAACTAATGCTTTATATATATTTTTTACATATCTATCTTATTCTTTACATATTGTATAATTTATTTTTGTAAACAAATTGTATTATTATATTACATATCATGATTTTTTCATTTTTTTTTTTGTTTTGTTCTATTAGAGATATAATCCAATAATTCAACATTATGGAAATTCTTAGCCAGATTATTGAAATTTTAATATAAAATATTAAGTATAAAACACGTATTTAAATGTATTTATGTTCAATATATATTTTTTATTATTTTACAAGAGAATAAAATGAGTCAAGAAAATATGATTATAATAACATCTTATAAACTATATATGTTCATTTTGTGCAAAACATCTTGTTCAAAACATATTTTCAGAATTTGTATTTTTTTTTAATGAATTAAAAATATTTTATAATCAATGGTCAGGTTTTAGCTGCTAATTGATGAACTGCTAATTGAACACGAAGTTCTATACAAGCATCCTTTTCTTCTATGATACTGCGAATTAAAGTAGTCATTTTTTTCTAAAATAAAATAAAATACAAGTAATATATTAATTTAAAATTTATAGATATATATTTATAATATATAGATTAAGTTATAAATTTGTTATGAGTACCTCAAGTAACTGATTTTCTTTAACTAATTGTATCATAGCTGTCATCTCTGCTTCATTCGGCGAATGTGCTCGTTCCTTTGGTTTTTTCTTTTCAGGACCACGTTCTATTAATATTTCCATTAACCGTTTAATTTCGTTCTTTTCTTGATTTATTCGCGATTTTAGTAATGCTTGCATATTCAATAATTCTTCATAAATTAAACTCTCTTTCAATTTATCAATAGTATTTTCATGTTCAAGTTCTACTACTGAAATTAAAATAAATGTAATAAAAATAATATGTAATGGTACCGTAAATTTTAATCATCATTTGTACCATTTTCACTTGTTATAGATGAAATATTTTCTTGTTCATTAAATTGTGGTATAATTGTTGATATTTCAGAAGAATCAACAATATCTTTATCATGTGCATGAACATTTCGTTCATTTTGAATAATTGTATTTGTATTTGTATTTGTTGGTTCTTTATTGTCTTCTAGAATATGTGCTTTATTATCCTTTTTTGTTAATGTGGATATTGATTGAGCTTCTAATTTTGCATATTCTATATCTTCTTCTTCTGTTTTTGTTTTTTGTATATTTAATTCTACTACAATTTCATCATTTGATTTCACTTCTTCATCTAAACTTTTTTGCGCAGCACCTTCCATTTTTTGAACTGTTTTATATTTTCTCTAAAGGAAAAAAAAATTGATGTTATATTTTGCAAAAATTTTCGTTGATATTTTTAAATTGAAAAAATAAATACTAAAATAGAACCTTCAATTGTGTTATCATACGTTGCACTTCCCACAATTGTTCTTCGCGTAATTTTGTAACAAAACCTGCATTCATTTGCATATGTATTTGCGAAAGTAACGATTCTTGTTTAGATAATTCAGCTGCTATGCTTTCTACAGAATCTGGAAGATTAATACTACCAGATGAAAGTGGCGGCACATATTTCGTTAATTTTACATTTGGAAAAAGAGCTTTGCAATGAAACAACAAAGCTAATAATAATCTATGACTCATTTGTAATACAGGACTTAATGTCATTGAAATGGTTTGAGCATTCATTTTAGTAGTTTTTTCCTGTAATATTAATATAAAATATTATATTTTATGTTACAAATATATATATAAATATATATAAAATAGTAAGTATATTTTTTCAACATACTCGTATTGTAACATGATCTAAATGTAATATAACCCATGCTAAAAGAACATTATTATATTTAGGAAGCTGCTGAGTTAAATGTAATAATTGTGCTTCTCTTTGAGCAACATCTTTTGTAGATGCTGCTTGTTCAAACCTAGATATCATTTCACTGCTTTCTAAGACAGGCTCTGGTAGTTCTCTGTATCATTAAAACTTTAATCTTGTATTACTTTAAAATATTTATTAGTATTTAATATAGTGATACAAACCTAAGAAATAATATTAATAAACTTGTAGCTACTGTAGGTTCAAATTCAGATAAATTTACAAGCTCTCTATGATTATATAACTTTTTTAAATGCTGAACTTTTGATTTCACTCCTGGAACTTTATATAGACCTTCTATATTCATTCCATGCTCTTCTGTAAAATCAATGCAATCTCTCACAACTAAAGGTAAATCAATGCCATCATGACAACGACTTCTTTCCACTGCTAAATGCAGACTAACGCCAAATACTGGTTGCTCCTCTAGATAGATAATTATTCAGAAATTTAATTCTACATATTATCAAATAATTTTATATCGTGGATTTTACCTCCAATATCTAAACCATCTTCCACAGTGTGTTTTCCTTTTTTACGATCTTTAAATTTTTGTTTTGTTTTATCTTTGTCTTTTTCTTTACGTTTTTCTTTCTCTATATCTTTTTCATCCTTATCTTTTTCTTTTTATCTTTCTCCTTTTCACCATCTTTTTCTTTACCTTCTTTTTCTCTGGATTTTTCACGTTTTTCTTTCTTTGATGGAAACTTGAAAGCTTTAGTCTTTTTCGACTTTGAAGGACTTCTGTGAGTTAAATTATATGCTAATTCAAGTAATAAATATAATAATTGTATATAACATATGAAAAGATATATTTGTTTAATACGTTATAAAATATAACTTTTATATATACTTTTATCTTTTAATTATTCACTTTTTTGTATATATAAAAGTAATACTTTCATAATAAAATATACATTTATAATAGAAATAAGAATTAAAATGATTAACAATATAAAATTATAAATATTTGTGATAAGTTTATTTTCTATTTTAAGATGACTATTTTTAAATATTTTTAAAATATTAATAGATACTAAACATTTTAATCAATACAACTAATTTTAAATTAATAAATTAATTAATATGTCAGTGCTAACAATATATAAAAATTAAAATTACTTTATAATATTCATTTATATATCTATATTCTTTATTACAAAAAATATTAATTAAACATAAAATAAATAGTTTAACCTATGAACTTAATTTTTATTTAATAAAAAATATATAAAATAACTTATAGAAATTATTAAATAAATTAATGTTTATAACTTATAAAACTTATAAAAAATTATATAAAAAAAAACATTACTTGTTTCCTGATCTTCGTCAGGGGAACTTTCTCCTTCTAAGGTAGCATATCCTCGATCTTTTCGATCTTTTTTTTCTTTTCGTTTACTACCAAGGAGTTCTTTTTTAGAATGTTTCTCATGTCCACCTTCATCACTAACTAAAAATATATAAATATAATTACTAATTATTTTTATAAATATAAATACAGTAAATAATTAATTAGAAGATATTTGGGAAAATAATTTATAATTTGATTTATGATTTCTATAACATATATAACCTCTTTGTTAAAATAACTATTATGCAAAAAAAATTAGATAAATTAGATTATTGATAATACATACAATCGCTCTCGTTACTTTTTTTGGCTGATTCTGATGCATATAATCCAGGAAATTCTTTTTCTACATCTGGACTTTCGAAATCCATCCTCCTAAGCTTACAATGTTTTAATAGGCTTAAAAATCTTGATATCAAACTATCGATATTTCATTCGAGCTTTTCTCGATTGTCAAAAATTATTCGACTTTCAGATCGATTATCTACATTCGAATTCTTATATACGATATTTTTTATATTTTTATATTTTATTTCATATCGCGTATTTCGGAAGGCATCCATGGTTTAAAAACATGACCATCAGCTTCTTTACTAGCCATATAAGTGAAATATGCTTGCTTAAACGATATCGAAGGAAATTTTCCATATTCCATTGAATTCCACATTGATCGCCCATACAAAACACGTTCTTTACGAACTTGACTATAAAACATAGCTTTTTTCATTGCAATCTATAAATGAATAAAATTATAATTGTATAATTAAAATAATAATCTAATTGAAAAATTGTTGTATTTATTGTTTCAAAAAACCTTTCTTTTTATTTCTTGTGCATCATCGAAAGTTAAATTCCTAAGTTTTGTCATTTTTAATAATGGAGTTCGAACTTCTGATTTAGCGGTTATTGTATCTAACTTGTTCCATAAATTAATACTTTTACGTAATAATTTTTCTAAAAATATTACATTTCAAATAATAATTTGTATATCGAATACTATATATATAAAAATAAGTTTGACTTACTCTTTTCTTTATCAGTAACAACTATTCCTTTTCTATACATTAGCCAATATCGCAACTGTGGCATTAAAAAACTTTTTGGTAGTTTTGCAAATAAAAATCCTTCTGTTGCCATTTTTTTTTAATTCAATCTGAGCATTAAGAATTTCAGAAATTTCTATATTTAATTCAAATAAATAGAAAACATAAAAAAAGTATCTTTTACCTTTACTATGGTCATTAAATAATTTTTGGAATCAAAATCTTCTTCATTTTCTTTATCCGATATATCTACATTTTCTATATTTGATTCGGTAGGATTATTTTCTAATTTTTGAGAAATGTTTAAACGTTTTTGTTCAATTTTATCAGATTTAATGTCTTTATTGTCCGAAATCTTTATTTTACTTCCAAAATCTTTTTGTACTATTATGTTTGTATTTTTATTTTTCTTATATGAGCTTTTAATTTCGGAGGATTTTTTTATTGACATATTTTTAATTTCTGTTTTATCCTGAGTATAGTCAATATTTGATTTAACACGGTGCTTAGTATTTTGAGAAATATTTGTTAATTTGCTCTTAGCATCAATAGGTTTTTGTAAATACGAAGTTATATTGGGATTATCATCATGCTTAAATTTTGTTTCATTTTCTGTAATATTTTCATCATTTTCTATATTAAAATTTTGACCACATGTATCTTTGCAGCTATGCTCATCATGCGTATGATAGACTGGTTGAGGAGCGTAAATTTCTCTAAATGCTTCTTTTACGGCTTCTTGTCTCTTTTTTTTTTCAGCAAGTAAAATTTCTTCAGGTTTTGGCAAAGGTCCAGGCGGAATATTTGTAAGAGACCAATGACGATGTAAACAAACACATGGTATTTCATGTTCGCTTGGTTCAGGTGTTTGAATAGGAGTAGCCATATGAATACCACCTACTACTTGCTTAGGTGGTAAATAAGAATAGTTTTCGGCAACGCCAGTTATACAATATTTAATATCGTCAACATATTCATCCTCTCTTGGAATTCTTTTTACGTCCGATATCATTAATTTTGTATTTGGCACTAATGGTTTTGAATATCTGCGACATTTATATAAGGTTGTTTTTTCAAAGTCTTTAATCGTTTTTGACGCTCCTTCCATTTCAATTTTTGTTCTCTATGTTCAAGTATTTTTCTTTCATACTTACATTCACAAACTGGTCGTTTTGTTTTAAGTTTACGATGTGATATAGGACAACCTACTTTATTAAATTTGGCACATTTAAGCCAACAAGGTAAATTATCTCTACATCGCGTAAAATATTCAGACAAACTTACATCTTTAAGTGCCAAATTCCAACGTTCTTTTGGTGATTTTGCGTTTATTAATGTTTCTCTGGTTTTGTCAAGTTCTTTCATCAATTGAATTTTTTCCTCATCTTCTTCTGTGGCTTGAATACCATATGTATCTATATATCGACTGCAACCACAAGATTCTTTATTTTTTGAAACTTCCGATATTTTGGGTGTACTGTATTGTTCAAAAAATTTTAGATTTTGATCTTTACGTTGAGTAAGACACATATCATAGGGGGAATCATAAAGATCATATTCAGGTACATATTCGTCACTTCTACGGGGACTCGGTGGTGGGGTATAATAAATGACACCATCTATAACTTGCATCTTTTTATCTTCGACTTCTTTTTTTTTTTAAATAATTTTTTTTCTTCGTCATCTTTTTTTCCACCTATATTTCCTCCAATATTATATAATAATATTTTTTTTTTGCTCTATTTTCCCGACAAATACATGGTTTTCCTCCTGATCTTACTGGTACAGTTTCTGGAGGATAATCTGGTTCACTGAGATATACTAAAGTTTTTTTAGTTGGCAATTTTTGCTCTGATTTTGTCTTCCATCCACAAGGACCTTTACTTGGTAATTGTATATCTGCATCTGCTTCATCTTGTCTATCAATTACAGGTTCAATATCGTAGTCGTATTCTAATTGACATTTTGCTGGAGGTTCATCTGGAATATCTATTGGTTTAACATCATAAGGATAGAGTTCAGGAGATTTTAACATGTTTTTCAATTCATATATCTTATTTTTATAAGTTGTTTCAGGATCTATATCTTGATCAATATATATATCTTTCTTTTTATCTCGTCTTATCGATTTTGGATTTGATTTTTTCTTCTTTATTTGTTTGTTTTTAATTGCTAATAAAATTGGGTTATGATTTGATTTCTTCGTATTTTTCTTTTTCTTATCTTGTTTATTATAATTTGTTACATTATGTATTTTTTGTTGAAATGTTTTGTTAAATTGATCATCATGTGTTAAAGATATTTCTTTATTAGATATAGGTTTTTTAGGATTTGATTTTTCGTTTTGTTTCTCTAAATATTTCGAAGATGAAGGATTTTTATTCGCTTTTTGATTGCGCTCATTTTTTGATTTTGAAAGATTTTGATCTTTTGTTTCATCGTTTTTCATATTAATTTGTAATACTTTATCATTCATTTTTTTAGTTTTTACGCTTGAAATTGATTTTTTATCAAATGTTTTTGTTTCACTTTTTTCTTCGCTCTTAAATTTTCCTCGATTATGTTTTTCCGCAATTTGAGATATATTTTTTATAGAAAATTTTTCTTTTTTCGAACTTTGAGATTTACTTACTTTTTCGATTTTAAATTTTTCTCGACCACGTTTTTCGTCAATTTGAGATATACTTTTCGAAATTTTTTCTTTTTTCGAACTTTGAGATTTACTTACTTTTTCGATTTTAAATTTTTCTCGACCACGTTTTTCCTTAATTTGAGATATACTTTTTGTAGGAATTTTTTCTTTTTTGTCTTTTAGAAAAATTTTTTTTATCTCTTTTAAATTTTCTTTTTTAGTATCCAATTTAAAATTTTTCTCTAATGCAGCTTTTTCAGTTTCATCTATTAATATTTTAGATTGTACAGGCGTTGCTGGTGGTTTTGGAGAACTAAGCTTTAATAATGTTTTAAAATCAGTTTCAGATTCTTTTTCTGTTGGTGCTGTACGAAATACATTCCATGGATCATCATAACCATGATAGGTGGGATCAGGAATAAATTTTTCAACCTTTTCCACAACCTTTTCTTTTTTCCTAATTTCTATGGATTGCGGACTCATGTAGCATTTTTCGTCACGTTTCCTTTCTTTTTCTTTCTTGATAGGAGGTGGTGCTTCCTCTACTTTTTCTTCTTCTTCTTCAAGTTCTTCCTCTTCTCCTACTAGTTCTTCTTCTATAACTATCTCCCGTTTTGGTATTCGTGTTCCAAAAGGACCTTCACAAACAGCTTGACCAGGTTTTGTTCCACACGGAGGACTCTGAATAATAATATGATTTTATTATATATTATAACATTATTATAATTTCTTATAATTAAATTAATTTACAAAAATAAAACGTACTTATATAAACGTAATTATAATTAAATTAATTCATAAACATAAAACGTACTCTTAATATTTCTTTTCGTAATTTTTCTTGCTCTGCTAATTCTTCTGGTGTTAAAGTATGCAAAGTACCCCAAGGTCCTCCACAAATACTCATACCATGTTCATCTCCACATGGTTGAAAATCTGCAATACTATACATTTTTTTTTCCCCTGGAGCTTCAGTTTTTTGTTTTTTTCTTTCGGCTTTTTTTTGTAATCTAATTATTTCATTAATAAATGGACTTCTTCTACATGATTTATCACCGGGATATTTCTTACAAGAATATGCAGGAAATTCTTGGGGTCTAAATTTTTTTCCAAAACATAGTCCATCTTCTTTTGTCCATGGTATATTATCATGACTCAAAGTTGAAGTCAAACCTTTATTAAACATTTGTTGAATTGCACATATGCAAGGCGGAACATTTCTTGGTGGCCTAGGTGGATGTGGCTCTATAATTCGTCCAGGTACGCGTATTAAATCTTCTTGAGCACCGGTTATATAATATTGCGTTTCACCTGTTTCAGTTGTGATACCATTTATTATTAAACTTGTTTTAAGAACATCTTCTGAAGCTATAACTTCTAATAAGTTTACAGTTGATTCTGGAGGAGTTGGTGCAGGAGAATGCATTGCCATTGATCCTACAATATATTTATTTTTATTATCATCTTCGGCTATAGTATCTATTACAAAATAAGGTGCTTTCGTTTCTTTTGCTCTAAAATACGATTTTCTAGTTTGTCTACAAGAACAACAGCTATCACAGCTTGGTCCTGGAAATACTAATTTCGTTATAGCTTCTATATTTTTTATCATTTTATTTGCCTCTCTCTCTACTTTTCGAAATTCTTCATCTACATTTTGCAACCATTCTTGCCAATGACGAGATAAATTTTTTCT